AAAACAGGTATATTTTACTGAAATTTCTCATAGTGCAATCTTATATGATTTTCCATTAGTTTCTAGATGTCTGTTCCCACCCATTACATATCACCAGTTTTTCACCATGAAATATATCAGACAATATTCATATACATCTTATCTATCGCTAACCACGCTCGAAGCAAAGTATTATCAAGTACTAAGTATGTGAAATTACGATACAAATCATTCCATATTGCAGTCATAGTTTTTAAGTGATAATCCAATGGAATCTATAAATCATCACATAGAATGAATAAATATGCTGACAATGCTATGTTATAAGATGGATCCAATAAAAGGTACATGTCGATTTGTTTCAGTGTAGCTGCGCGCACGCTGAGTAGATAGAAAGAAGATTGATGACGATTCTGAAGATTTCCTGCAAAAAGATGATGCTCGATGCAAGTAGATGCAACAAATGAAAGAAGATTTTTCGAAGATTGATTCGCTAGTGTGAGATTTGTTGAGCATCTTAACTTGAGATTTAGATGTGTCGCCCCCCTCGGCTTGTACCCAGAGATATTCGATTGGTGGCAGGTGGGGAAAATCATGACGTTTCTGTTCCTCTTGCATATAACCTTCGTAGCGATGTTCATCGTGCTTTTGGATGCTCCTTCTGTTGTCAAAGGAAGAAAGTTAAATGACAATTGATTGGATGAGTAGAAGCTTATGAGCCGACGATGCTGGCATATGGACATTACCCAACTCGAGACCCAACTAACAATTTGAGTTGACTAAAAGCTGAATAAGCTATTTTTTAGTTGAATAAGCATATTTTTGCTTGAATAGCCTCTAAGTGAGCTATCAATGTTTGTTGGGTATCAGCTCTTGAGGTTAAACGCAGTGAATTCCAAAAGTAATTCTGGAGAATTCCAGGAGAGCTCAGTACAAAACTTTCCCTGTTAGCTTGAACAATAGTTCCGGGTAATGTCATTTTCGTAAGCTGAAGATTTTTCTTGGTGGACGCCATGCTCATGCTACTCATGGAAATTCAGCAAAGTGCTAAATACTGGGAGAAGCTGAAGAAAACGGTGCCACAAACCACAATCTTAGATTCACCCGGTCGGTGATGGTATCCGTTAAGTAAGGCCTGGTGGTCGTCCTGAATCATTGTTTTTTTTTTGTTTATTAATTTATTTGATAAGGCTCAACCGAATTAACTTTACAGAGCCGAGGATTCTTGGTCACTATACAATACATCTTAAAACTATAGTCAAAAGGTACAACACAATAAACACTTTATCTTCCGCTATCCAAAAAGCCTCCTCCATCAGAACTGGAGCCGCTTCCAGTGGTTTCATTGTATGGCAAATTGTTGTACGCCAACGAGGGTCAGAGCGCGTCCATTGCAGCAATGGACGCAAAACGTGGTCAGCACTCACACACTCATCACGAAACGGTTGCTTTCCAAAGTCGACGACGCATCGACCGAAAGAACAATGAGGAGGACCACACAATGGTTGCTACCGAGAAAACAGACGATCGCGTGGCACACATCGAGAGTGGCCTGCTTTTGTCGACAGCCGAGTGAACACTGGGAATCATTGTTACAATCCGTGCATTCTGTAACACCGATATCTCAGACAGAATTATACAATCCAGCAAGTCCAGCATCACAAGTAGCTAATCTGCAAGAACATCAGAACCAGTTTTCAGTTGCTTATGAAATTAGCGAGTATGACAGACATCAACACAAAAATCAAGTTGCTATGTGTATTTGATGTTGATCAACGCGTGTTACTCAGAGCGACTCAGAGTTACTCAACATTTACTCCGATTTTACTCATAATCAAAAGCTGTCTTACCCGAGATCTTACCTCTTGATTTGAGTAAAGAGCCTGAATTTATAAAGAGACGACATGTCAAAATTGGAACAATAGCTTATCTGTCAAAGTCATAGGAAAAGTCATTCCAATCGAGCAGAAGACCTGTCAAATGGATAAGATGTAGTCTCTTTATAAATTCAGGCTTTTTACATTTGAGTAGTACCAGATAAAACCTAAGAGGAAAAGGAGACAATAGGGGGACTTTTATGAACCACTTTTCTGTCAAACGCGAACCAACGCCTGATTGGTTGGGCGAACGTAAAGAAAGGCGAAAATTTTTACAACAGGGAATCTATTTTCTTGTATTTTGACAGTCAACTGCGTCGCCCTTAATGAAATAGTTTTTGCACGGTCGTTTCCGCGAGAGAAGAACACATCACAGGCACACTGAAGCTAGTTGTCTCCTCCCTTTTCCTTTAAGGATAAAGGTCCCCCCAAACTGGCGCGTTTTTTAGGCCGCGGCAGCGGTAGCGAATAAATCGCGTTTACCGCGGTAGCGAAATTCGCGTGGGTACCCACACCGGAGCGGTAGTTTTTTCGTAGCGTCGTAGCGATCGTGAGCAATGGATTCGTCGTCGAATTAAGAAGAGGCGCTTTTTTTAGTTTCATTACAAGCAGTGAAAAATGCGTTGACAAATTTTGGCAATTTGCTTCATTTTAGTGATATTTGTTTACAGTTTTGTTAGATATTACAGATTTCTCACCACTGGTGATCACGGAAGTTCATGAAATTTTAAAGAAAGTTTGTCAATCTTTAGAAAAAAATACAAAACTTAACATCCCCTGGAATGCATATCATCAGACAAAATTGCAGATATTCGGAAAATTTCTTAAACAGATCACCAGGGAAAATCGCATAACTTCAGATAAATTTGAAAAACTTCAGGAAAATTCATAGATCATCAAAAACTTTGTAGAATTTCAAAGAGGTTCACAGAACTTAAGAAATGTTGTTAGATCATCAGAGAAATTTGCAAAACATAAGTAAAGATAACAGAACTTCAGTTTTTCAGAAGATTGAAAAACATATCTTCCGAAGAATTTGTGAAAGTTCAAGGAAGTTCATAGAATATCACGGAATTTCGTTGAACTTCAGGGAAATGTGAAGAACTTCATAACTGTGGCGTGATGAGCTGTTAAATATTTCCTGAAAAATGATCATACTGGAGTCTTGGGTGTTTAAGATAATTTCTGAGCATGCTGGTATCTTTTTAGATTTTTTCGAAGAATTTTGAACTCTCGGACAGTCTATTGAGTTCGCTATTAGTATTCTCCCGATATTTCAGATGAATTATCTCAGGAATTTTTTTTTTTCGGCTAAATGCTTCTCCGGAACTCACCTTTGAATTAATTTGTCATACTCCTAAAAGATTCAATCGAATTATTCTCAAAACCAAGGGGGACGACTCTATCTACGATGCAGAAAAGATTGTGTTTTGCTGTGGTTAGCTGCGCGCACGCTGAGTAGATAAAAAGAAGATTGATGACGATTCTGAAGATTTCCTGCAAAAAAATGATGCGCGATGCAAGTAGATGCGACAAATGAAAGAAGATTTTTCGAAGATTGATTCGCTAGTGTGAGATTTGTTGAGCATCTAAACTTGAGATTTAGATGTGTCGCCCCCCTCGCTCAAAACTGAGTTTATTTCTAAAATCGCTTTGGATTTTCTCCTTCCCTTGGAATTCAACATACAGTTTCTAAATTCTCCTTATAAATAAATGTAGTTCTACTGACACATTCCTTAGATTTAGCATAGCATATGCAATTGTACAAATTGTGGGTGGTCAACTATCCTCACAAATACATTAGATTTCTCCTCCGGAAGCTTATATGAAGGGCAAGTTGAGCGAATTCCAAGTAGAACAAGGAATTTTGTAGAAGTTCTTGGAACTACATAGAAGCTCTGCTAGAATTTGGAGAATTTAGGAGAAATTCAGGGAGTTTTGTAGATGGGATTATTGTAGAAATTCCAATGATAGTCTGAGAGCTTGATCAAATTTCAGGGTGCAGTCAATTAAATTTACAAGTTCAGATATCTTTGAAAAAAATAGTTTCGAACCAATTCTACTAAGGTTTCCGTTTTTGCCATTTTTTATCACCTGAAAATCACTCTCGGTACAAAAAAAACCGCGCTTTTTCGGTGGCAAAAACGCTGCAGACAGCGAATCGAAAACGAACGCAAAAGAAACGCTGCCAAAACGCGCGAACAGCGTTAACTTGCCGCGTTGGTTTGAGCGCTTCCGTAAGCCGCCATGCATTTAAAATGTGGCGAATTTTCCGCCGCGAATTATTCGCTGCCGCCGCGTTAAAAACGCGCCAGTTTGAGGGGACCTTAAAACAACCAATGATCCATTTTAGGGCCACCATTAAAAAAATATAGAGTTAAAACGACAGATTTTTGAACAATTAATAGAATCAATCCCAAAAACAAAAAAACTGACCAATCACGGTCCTACCAACAATCAATACGAAACTAACGATTTTAAATTGGCTCACCACTTTAGTAGCCTATTGGTCTCAAGCAAACGATTAACGTACCCTATTCTAGTCGAAATTCTAGTACTACGCAATGTTTGTTTTGATTCGCTATGAAAGTTTGACAGATAAAATGAGGGGTTATTGGTTTTTCCTATGTTTCGAGGGGTGATTCGACAAGCTTGGGACCGAAGATAGTACCAGAGGTGAGCCAAAAAGTTGAGCACGTTTCTTCGGGACCTACTTGTCTTAGAGTTATCTCTATGGTCCTACCATAGAGGTCCCGAAATAACGTACTCAACTTTTTAGCTCAGCTCTGGTACTCTCTTCGGTCCCAAGCTAATCGATTAACCCCTCGAAACATAGGAAAATCAACTAACCCCTCATTTTATCTGTCAAACTTTCATAGCGAATCAAAACAAACATTGCGTAGTACTAGAATTTCGACTAGAATGGGGTGCGTTAATCGTTTGCTTGGGACCAATAGGCTAGTCAAGTAGTGAGCCAATTTAAAATCGTTACTTTCGTATTGATTGTTGGTCCTACGTCAAGTTTCCGTTCGTGCCCTTGGGCACAGACTCTTCTACCTTTTCAATTTAAATTTAAATTTTACTGATTTGTCTCTCGGATAGAGGTGATAGAGAAAATTAAATAAGAATTACCCAAACATACCGTCAACATTTATTTTAACCGCCCAACCACCAGAACCTACAGCTTCAGCTTCAGTTCCTTCATCAAATTCGCCCAAACCTTTTCAGCCTGCTGTTGCGAGTACTCGTAGCTCCATGCCGTACAGAACACAACATCCGAGTGCTGCACCAGCTCCGCATTGCTAAGTTGTGCTTTTATTCTCTTATCAGCTTCTTCTTCCGTTAACCCATTCCTATCGACCAACCGTTTCAGGGCTTCCTCCCTCGGAATAATGCAGGACCAAACCTCATGGCATGCACTTTGCCACCCAGCTCTCAACAGCACAGCTGCTTCCATGATGATAATCTGCTTGTGTTCCTTCTCGTACAAATTCTTGATCCTTTCCTTGGCCCTATCTAAAATCGCATCCCATAGGATCGTGTTCAGCAGGTTTAACTTGTCCGGATCGGTGAACACGATACCACCCAGAATTTTCCTGTTGATCGTTTTGTCCTCATTCAGAATTCCAAGTCCAAAATTATTCACAACCGCCTGGTAACAATCCTGGCCCGGTTCGTACAATTCGTGGGCAATCTTGTCGCAATCGATCACTCCTGCACCGAGCTTGGCAAAACGTTCCGCCATTTTGCTTTTGCCCGCAGCTACACCTCCAACCAGTCCAATGATGTACGGGGTCGAACTCAGATGCGGCTTTGCTTCTCGTGGCTTCAAACGAGCTCCCAACATATCCATCCGTTGATTGCTGGAGCTGATTTTGTCTTCTTTGTCTTCAACGGTTAGTTCGTCGTCCAGCAAGTTGATCGTGTAGACTTGCAGCTGGTTGAGTCCATTTTTGGCGCGAAGTTCGTTTACCTTGGCCCCACCACGTGCCGTTTCCGTACTGACGACGATCATCTGCAAGATATGATTATACAATTATGAAACAATTTGGGTGTTTCTCATAAGCTAAACTTACATCCATGTTCGGGTCCGTAGCAGTTGGTCCGAATGGATCACTTATGGGAACGACCTCGTACTGCAAGGTGGAATCGATGTCTTCCAAGAACGCTCGAACATCTGCAATCCTTCGCTCCGTCGGAAGAATCAGCTCCCACAGTTTCTTGCTTTTGATCATGTTTTCGTCGGTTACACCGACGAGCAATCGTTCCTCAGCTAATAGTGCGGCTTGGGACAGTAACACTTTGTGGCCGGCATGAATTCGATCGAATGTGCCACCCAGTACGACATTTTTAAAAGTGTCCTGCGATTCTGTGAACGCGGTGACATCAATCGAAAACGGCTGTGTGCCTAGTTCTATCACACTGGAGCCAGGATAGTGCCTCGGCGCATCAAAATTCGCATCCTGATGCGAACCGATGGAATAATCGTAAAAGAGATAGTCGATGGGGCGCTTCAAAGGAACACATTCTTTCCGTTTAAGAGAACTAATGAGGATGCGCAAATCCACCCCAGGACCGAGCACTTTCGGTGAGCTTTGGTACACACTGGCGATAAATTTGCTGAAAGCTGTCGATCTGGTCGCATCTCTGAACCGTGGATGCAACTGAACGTAGAGAGTTGCTAAGCCATATTTGCGTGTGGCGGCTAAGGTGTTTGCGATGTTCGTCAGGTGAACCGCCGTCAGCAGGCCCGTTTTCGATGGCATTCCTCTCGTTCTGGGAAATGCACACAAATTACAAACACATCACAGATCGTTACACAAAACTGGAAAAATCGGCAACTATTAACTAACACCGTCTGTTATCATTACATGAACTTTGGACGGGCATCGCTACTGTCAAGGGGTGTACTAAACAAGGGTGTACATTCATAGGGGGGGTGAAAGAAAAGATTATTTGTTATGAAAATGCAAATTTTGTGGCATGTTGATCGAGATTATATTTCAAAACAGAATTTAATTGCTTACAAACACCTTAAAAACATATCGTTCAGCTGGCTTCAACCCTGAACGACATTATCAGAGATGAAATGTAAAATGTCCTCCAAAACAAAATAAATTTCTTATAAAAATCTAACTTTTTTCTGATAAAATTTTTAATTTTCGTGGAATAATAAGTATAATTTCCCTTACTGTTGCTTGTAAAAATATGTTCAATAATGGACTTAACTGTGCATCAACAAAAATCTGTTTTCCAATGTTCCGAACAAGAATTAGAACATCATCTTGTTCCAATTGTAGTCCAATAGGATAAAGTTTTTATTCGAATTGATTCAATAACCTTCCCAATAAACTTTAGACCATTGTATCGATTGTCTGTTAAGCTATTTGTTGTGAAGCGTCTAGAAGCGGGATTTTTAAATTTGCCATCAGTTTTACAAGTTTAGTTGCAAAATAAATTCAGCACTCAGATATGCCTTCTGCAATGCCTTACACGGACGTACATCGAGCGTTCCTGCAAGCCATATCCCAGCATGGTACGATGAGTGCTAAGCAGGCCTACAAAGCTTTCCTAGCCATATGCGCAAAATGTAAGTCCTTCAATATATCTTAGGAAAAAAAACATCACTTTAAATTCCAATCGACAAACTCCTTATTCCAGACCACGGCAGCGAAGAGATCCCCACGGAAGATCAGATCCCGGAAGTGGTTGCCACGATCAACGGCAAATTGTACCGGTACGATCAGAAAATCTGCTTCGTTCATTTCGATCCGGCAGATACGGATTTCTACGTGTTTTGCAATCAAACTGAATCGCAGCTCGATCGGTTGCAAAACACCTACACCGAATCGGAGCTGGCACTGTTCCGCCTAATCCTACGAGAGCTGGCATGCAACGAGGAAAACAAACTGAAACCGATCGTTTGCCTTAATCTAACGTCGGAGATTAAGAGCAAGCCACTCAGCAAGGTGCGAGCCGAAGAGCTGCTGGAGGAATGGGAAAAACTTGGATACTTTGTTCAACTGGCTGAGATGTGGTACTTTGGGCCGAAAACGATTGGCGAGTTCGATCGGTACTTGCTAGCAAACTATCCCGATGAGATGCAACGGTGTAAACTGTGCAAGGAATCAGTGTTCTATGTATGGATTTTAAGGGCTTTGCTTGCAAGGAGGTGAAATAAACGATTCGTTATCTTTTGCAGGGCGTCAAATGTGATAAGTGTCCGGATTCGTTCCACAAGGACTGCATGAAGAAATATCTCAAGCGATTAACGGCTTGCCCCGGATGCAAGGGGTTGTGGTCTACACGCGTTTAGTGTTGGCTGGGGTGCTTGAAGTATGTTTTAAATGTATTTGTGTCATTCTACAATTGTAGTATAAGCTTGAATATAAGTTGTTTTATAATGTGTCCAACAATTATGAATGTGATGTCACTTGTTTCGAAATTTAAGATACCAATACAGAGTGGGTATTCTTATCATATTTGTAATTTATTGATAGTGCAAGTCTATGCTGCACACAATGAGGAAGTGCAGCTTTCTTGTGATCTTATCAGAAACTCCATATTGTCTTTAGAATTGTATAATTTAATTCCACAAGGGTGAGGATTTAATCGAGAATTTGAATCTCTAATTGCTTGCGAATAAATAACCGTCAACGTTCCGTCAACCGTCATGAATTTAGCACATAGTTTGCCACGATGGATTAACAAAATATTCAGGGGTGCTTTGATTTTAATAAAAATATTTAAAAAATTCTATCCAAATCAATTTGCTCCCAATTTACTGTGCTAAAAATAAGTACACAGTAATATTTTCGAACTGGTCTTAAACATAAATACAGGTATAGGTACCTCGATATAACGTAACTGTCACTTTTGACCGTCATCGTCGATATATTGAGCTTCTTAAAATTTTCTAGAGCTCGAGCTACAGGTGATGGACTTTCGTGTCACCGGTACTTGGCTCTAGAGAAGGAAGTCAAGCACTCTTGCAGACGGGACAAGCGAGCGTGATTGAACTCCCTGGCCGACGAAGGGGAGAAAGCCGCAAACACTGGCGATATACGCCTCCTCGACGATATCTTACGACGCCTGAGTGGAGCAAGGATGAACCCGAGGATGCCAGTGAAGGACACGACTGGACAATTGCTTACCGACCCCACTGACCAGCTGAAACGCTGGTTTGAGCACTTCGAACAACTTCTTCAAGTTTCGACGGCCAACCAGTAATCAACATCTCGGCATGATCCGCCTAGGGTGCGGCGCATCACTCGCGTCAATTCCGAGGCCCCATCACTGCAGGAGATTGAAGCAGCTATCCGAAGCATGAAATCCAACAAGGCTCCAGGGGTCGATCGCATATCAGCAGAGATGCTCAAAGCTGACCCCATGCTATCCGCACAAATGTTGCATCAACTATTCTGTAATATCTGGGACACCGCGACTTTTCCTGCCGACTGGATGCAAGGCATCTTAATGAAGGTCCCAAAGAAGGGGATCAGACTGTGTGCGACAATTGGCGAGGCATCATGTTACTGTGTTTATTTATTTATTTATTTTTTTTTTTTTGTTTATTATAGTCACTTTAACACTCTTGGGTCATTCGTGACTTGTCCGGGGGTGAGATTTGAACTCGTGACTTTGGCGTGAGAGGTATGGATGTTAACCACTACGCCGGGGTTGCCCCCTCTGTTACTGTGTATTGTTCTCAAAGTTCTGTGCAAAGTTATCCTGAATCGGATACAGGAGAAGATCGACGCGACTCTCCGACGGCAGCAGGCAGGATTCCGTGCCGGAAGATCTTGTGTGGACCATATTATCACGCTCCGCATCATCCTGGAGCAGGTCAATGAATTCCAAGAGTCCCTTTATTCGCTATTCATTGACTACGAAAAAAGCTTTCGACCGTCTCAATCACGAGCATCTGTGGGGCGCCCTGAGGGAGGGGAGTCCCGGATAAAATCTTCTTCAACCTCATCGAAGCGCAGTATGAGGCTTTCACGTGCAGAGTTCTGCATAACGGAGCCTTGTCCGACCATATCCGGGTAGTCGCTGGTGTGAGACAAGGATGTATACTATCACCGCTACTGTTTCTCATCGTAATTGACGAGATCATGGTAGGTGCAATTGACCGTGTACCGAACCGTGGGCTGCTTTGGCAGCCTATCACCATGGAGCATCTCAACGACTTCGATTTGGCTCATGATGTTGCTCTACTAGCACAACGGCGCTCTGATATGCAGAGTAAGCTCAATGACCTAGCCGAACGCTTCTCTGCGGCGGGTCTCACCATCAACGTCAACAAGTCCAAATCGTTGGATATCAACACGGGCAACCCTTCCAACTTTACGGTAGCGGGGCAAGCAGTGGAGAAGGTCGAAAGTTTCCAATATCTTGGCAGCCAAATACCGTCGGACGGCGGGACCATGGCGACATAGGTGCACGAATCAAGAAGGCTACTGTTTTACCTCACTTATAACGAATATACGTTGTATACGAGTACCCCGAATACAACGTATGACTCGTCTAATTTTGCATAGCATTTGTAATGTAAAATTAGACGAACTATACGTTGTATTCGGGGTACTCGTATACAACGTATATTCGTTATACGTCAGGTAACACAGTAGGGCTGCCTATGCGAGTTTACGAAACGTATGGAGATCCAACCAGATAAGTCAACGCACCAAAATCCGAATTTTCAACTCGAACGTGAAATCTGTGTTGCTATACGCCAGCGAGACGTGGTGTGTATCAGCGGAGAACACTCAAAAGCTGCAGGTCATGCTTGGCCTGCTCATTTAATAATAACTTTTCACTCAGATGTTGAAATTTATTTTTCTTTAAAGTAATTGATAGATTAGTTTCATAGTTTACTATAGATATGCGAAGATTAGGTAAACCTTAACATTTGAATCAACACTAATCAATTGAACACTTAAATTCCGAGATGTGTAGTGAGCATTTCTCACCTCATTTTTACAACGCAAAAACAAATACAGCTAACTACAAGCATTAAAATCTACTTTTTTTTTTACATATCTATAACAAGCTTACACTCTATTCTATCTACTGCTTCACAAAGAACTATGTTCCGTCAACTGTGTGCAAAGTTATTAGCAAATGAGCAGTTCATGACCAAACCTGTGTATGCCAAGCATGCTGCAGGTCTTCATCAACCGATGCCTGCGGTATATAATTCGTGCCTGGTGGCCTCACAACTGGATCTCAAATGCCGAGCTCGATCTTCGATGTCATCAGAAGACGATAGCAACAGAAATTCGAGAGCGAAAGTGGAGGTGGGTCGGCCACACACTTCGACGGGGCGGAAACGAAATCTGCAAGCAAGCGCTGGATTGGAATCTGGCAGGACATCGCAGCAGAGGCAGACCCAGGGGCTCATGGCGGTGGAGCCTCAATAAGCAAATTAAGCAAGTCGATAGGAATCTGACCTAGGCCCAGGTCAAGGCAAAAGCGAGCAGTCTTTCACGTTGGCCCTTTGCACCGCTGGTGGTGCACAGGACCCTTAAGTAAGTAAGTAAGTAAGTAAGTATCATTATGTATTGTTTGTTCTTTATATTGAGTTTCATTTAACGAGAAATCGGCGATAGACGTGTTTGTTTACAAAAGCAATTACGCCGAAATCTCAAAGTTCTCCGGAATTATTGGGGCTTATTACGGATGGCACTTCACGGTGAAAAGTTGTCACTTGTCTTCACGGTGAAGTGATTCCCATTTAATCACAGCTCTTATTATGAGTATCACTTGTTTATCACCATATAGTGACACCCGTAATAAGGCCCAATTTAGACTCTGAACTATTTGGTGGATTATTTTAACTTTTAGTTAAAATTTGACAGTTGGAAAGTTGATTAACCCTGCTATCCGAGCGTGGTTATTTCTGACAGACAAGAAGTTAACTTTTGACAACCGTGGGTAATACAGGGATCTTGTCTGTTAAAAATAACCACGCTCGGATATCAGGGTTAATCGATAACTTAAACACTCTTCGTGCCCGGAATCGTGGCACGTCAATCACAAAGTTGAAATTTATTGTCAGATAGTGTAGACAAGTTTTGCGCGACCTGTCAATTAGGTAGACAAGATGCTCGGCTTAGGCCGTTCGCAATGCTGAGTTTCAAAATTGTTTTAAACTACTCGTCAATTCTATAATTTGAAACTGTCAAAAATAAAACTGCAACACGATCAGCGCAACGCACAGTTCTAAAAGATGTTTGCAATCATCAAGTTCCATAAACTTTACTGTTCTCTATGAAATTCTCCGTTTTTATTTGTGAAGCTCTCGAAACATCTCTAACACATCCAAAGAAATTTGAAACAGAGATCCATTCGTGTTTCAAACTCGCTCAGAAATAAAACAGAATAGTCGAGCAGTTGCAAATCTGGTGCAAAATAGTGCTCGAATAATGAAACTGCAACTCAGCATTGCGAGAGGTGCGTTTCTGTTCTAGTTTCAAATTGAAACAGTCCTTATAAAATACAACAGCATTGCGAACGGCCTTACTGATTATTAGCAAATGTTCTGACATTTGTGTTTGAATGGGATTTCGACAATGCTTAAACTGCTAAAACATGAACTTGTCTAACTTTGAATTGCAAATGTTGGATTAGACGAAGTATACACACAATGTTTTGATATCCTATTCCAGTGTGTACACACTCATTTTTTTATCGCTGGAAACCAGCAATATTTTGCTGGATTTTTCCGAGCTGAAAGTTCAGCAATTCATCCAGCAAAATATTTCGACCAGCATTTTAGTCCAATGCCAAATTGACAGCACTTTACTGATTATCCAGCAAAACGGAAGATCAATAATTTTGCTGAAAGAGCAGCAAATCTCGACTGTTGTTTTTTTTAAAGAAAGAGACACCTCATTGTTGAAATAAATATTTTATTACACTTCCATGTAATTGTATACAGTTATTCATTAAATGTGACTGCACTTCTTAAAGAATTCATGTGACTGAACTTATTGAATAATCATGTCTTGAAGAAGCTATGATGGACAATTCTTGGTGAGTTATTGTTGTTGTTGTTGTTTCTTTATTAAGGAGACTCCTGGGTAAGTTTACGAATGAAGAAAACTGTAAATTTCAGAGAAAAACGAAAGTTTTTCAATTTAATTCGGGTTGCTAAGGTAGTTTAGTATTACTTACTTCATGACAAAAGCTCTATTTATATAATTTCCCTGATTTTGTTAGTCGAACACTTCTTGAACATAAAAAATAATAATCATAAATCGTGAAGGAGCGAATGATAGATTTTAGCCTGATTTTGACGTTTCATACAGTTTACTAGAACGTTAAGCAAAACATTTCATTTTAATGATTTTTCAGTTAAAGTTAGTTTTGCTGGATGCGATTCAGCAATTCATTTTTCTGGAACAGGATTTCAAAATTTGGTGTGTACGTTGTATCTGGGACCCACGGGCACAACGTATATTGGTTATTGGCCAGGTAACACAGTAGTACCATAGAGGTAACTCTAAGACAAGTAGGTCCCGAAGAAACGTGCTCAACTCTTTGGCTCACCTCTGGTACTATCTTCGGTCCCAAGCTTGTCGAATCACCCCTCGAAACATAGGTAAAACCAATAACCCCTCATTTTATCTGTCAAACTTTCATAGCGAATCAAAACAAACATTGCGTAGTACTAGAATTTCGACTAGAATAGGGTACGTTAATCGTTTGCTTGGGACCAATAGGCTACTGAAGTGGTGAGCCAATTTAAAATCGTTAGTTTCATATTGATTGTTGGTAGTACTGAAATCCAACAAAGAGGTATTTGCTGAAACTATTTCAGCAAATTGTTTTGCTTAAACCGCAAACGAAGTGACAGACGGAGCGGCTCGAAAACTTTGGTGACTAACCTGCTATTGCAATTTTTCAGTGTACCACATGGCAACACCACTACTACTGGATTGTACCACATGGCAACACTACTACCATAGAGGTAACTCTAAGACCACTGGGTCCCGAAGAAAATCATTATTATTTTTGGCTCACTCAGTACCAGAACAACGGTCCCAAGCAGTCCCAAGCTATTTCACTCACCCCTGCATGTTCTGCATGAATCCACACACCCCTGATGTTATCTGTCAAACTTTCATAGCGAATCAAAACAAACATAGTGTAGTAATAGAATTTAAACTAGAATGGGGTACGCCATAGAAGTACTTGAGACCAATAGGCTACTCAAGCAGTGAATCAATTTAAAATCGTTAGTTTCCACCCCCTGCTACTACTGGATTGAACTAGCATTTTCACCAAATGTACTAGAATGTTTTGGTTCTATCTCTTTCACTCTAATCAAAACTGAAATGCATAAAAAAATGACAAAAATATGATACACTCTTTGTACATTGTCAAAGAATCATTGTACACAAAATCAACTTTGTGCAAAACCAAAACAAAAATACTAACCCATCTGGTGAATGATGGCACAAGCTTCTAAGAAAATTCTATTACAGCGAACCACATTATTTTAATTGATTTCTTCGCCAGTTAGTCGTCTGTCACTTCGTTTGTGGTTAAACTCAATCGAAATTTGGTGTGTACTTAACTTCGAGATGGGTACTTTTTCTCGCATTTATGGGTACAGTGTAGATCGCAGATCGACCACTTCTAATCAAGTTTAAAGCCCACGAAGCCCACTTTTTAGTACAGCAAACCAAGTGCGACTCTGTGCACAATTCGCGCGTATTTTTTCATAACCTAAAATAAATCGTATCACGGAACGAAAACCGGAAATCGCAATTTTATATCCGTATCTCAGCGATGATAAAAATGATTTCTGCATATTCGAATGTCCACCGTGCGTTTCTGCAGTCTTGCGTGCTGCATAGTATCATCCCCACCGACCAGGCCCTCAAAGTTTTAACTCACCTGATTGCCAAGTGTAAGTACTTGTCAGATATCTCTGCTCTCCAATGCACCCTAAATCTCCTGATCCGTAGTCACGCCCAACGATCCACCACCGACCGAGGAACGTCTCCTGGAAGTCGTCGTCGAAATTAACGCCCGAATCGGTCGCTTCGAGCAACGCGTAATCCGCCTCGAATACGACCCGACCCTGACGACCTACTTCGTTTTCACCAACCTTTCCGACACTCCGCTGGACCGGCTGCAAACCACCTATCCGGAAGCGGAGCTAAGCTTCTTCCGGATGATTCTTCACGAGCTGGCGCGCACGGATGGTCATCGAATGGGGCAGATCGACTGTTTGAATCTGACGACTAAGCTCGAACCCGGCCGGAATTTGACCAAAAGTCGGGCGGAAGTTCTGATTCAGGAGTTGCAATCGGCCGGCTACCTGGCACTGGAGAAGCACGAAGTCGGATTCGGACCGCGGACGATGGTCGAGTTCGATCGGTATCTGGCGAACAACTTCCCGGATCAGATGCAGCACTGTCGGCTGTGCAAGGAGGTTTTGTTCTATGTACGCTGCAAGGCTGGCAGATTGGGCGGAATGTTTGAATGATGTTGTTTTCCTTTTCAGGGCGTGAACTGTACCAAGTGTCCGGAGATGTTCCACAAGGTATGTATGAAGAAGTACCTGCAGAGATTGAAGAAATGTCCCGCTTGCAAGCAGATGTGGACTGCTTCACTGCAGTGAAGCGGTTCCTTTCGAACGAATGCTGTTTCTTCCATCGAAGAAACATTCCGCAAAACTTGACTTGTTAGTTCAATTTCATTAATTACCCTTTATTTCGGTAATAAACCATTCAATGATTCAATATTGCTGTCTCGAGTAAATTTCCCATGTTAATTCGTGTGATCGTTCAAATCGAATTCGATAAATACCACCGTCAAGAAGCCGGTTGGCTGGGGGTCGTTTCTGAATTATCTACCCCCGTTCACACTTCGACGAAGAACAAACGCTCAATCTTAATTAATCGCTGCAATTATGGAGCATTAATGCGCCATGTGCCTCTCGTTGCGGCTTTTTTTTTTCACATTTCCGCGCATGCTGTCCGTCCGTCCGTACGTTGCCGGTTCCTCATTCTTGGTGGCGCTGCTTAGTGCGGGTGGGTGGTTGACCGGTTTCAGGTATAATTCGGTCGTAATGTCGATGGTTTGCGAAAAATGGTTTCTCAACCCGATTGGTCGCGGTTTTCCTGTGCTAGCAGCAGGTTTTAATGGATATTGAATGTTACCTGATCATATGATTAATTAATTAGAAGACCAATGTTTTTGAGTATAACACCACCAGATACAGAGGCGACAACAATAGATCACATACCAAGGGCGACCACTGAATTTAAGAAATTAAATTCCCTTTTTTTCCCGGGTCCACATCTTATTTTTCCCGGTTTCATAAGTAATTCAATTTGAATAATTCGGTTTCATAAAATTTTCAAATGCAGAAAACCGGAGAAGCCCCCGAGGTCCGAAATTTGAAATGTTCCTAAACGTCTCACACGGAGAAACAAAGCAACTCAAAATCGAGATATAAAGTACTTAAAAATAAACAAAAATACTGAAATTTATATTAATTTTGCTAACATCGAGGGTTCTTAGTTTTGAGGGTTTTCATCTCTATTTTGAGTTGTTTCGTTTTCCATGCTTTGAAAGTATCCATCGTTTTGGAAGAAAAAATTTACGCCATTACTTCGTTTGGATGAGTTGTCGTCTGCCGTTAGCAACAGTTTTAAACAATTCTAGGCTGCCGAATTGTTCGATGTGGTAAGTTCACGTCATCCAGGCGAATTTTTAGATATTTATTCAAGTTTAAAATTATTATAGACATGGTAAAAATTATGGTTCCGGTGTCTGCTGTCGCTGTCGAATACGAGTCAGAGTGCCAACATAGGGCCGAGCATTGGACCTATTAGAGCGCCAGAAGGAAATAGTTCTAATGTTGACTGGAGCAAGGTGATATTCGAAAAACTCACCCGTGTCAACTGAGACAGCACCGTGTTAATCTGGGATCCAATCCGAAAATCGAACTCTGCACCTACATAGGACATAACCCGGTAGCTGAACTCATTGGTAGCTAGTCATAATCTGATGACGTTATCCAGGTATGTATAAAAACAATATTAAAATAAACACATTCTACATGCATTTGCTTCTGCAAACTTTTTCAGAATCCTGAGCTTCAAAAAGATCAACTAGACCATGGAAACGATTAATCGTTATAAGGCTGTCCACGAGACAGTTGCGATTAAAGCCCTACAGTAGGGCTTTTGTTGCGATCAGCTGACTTTTTTGTTTACCGTGAACTTTTGACAGATCACAGTAGAACTGACAGTTCACTCTCATAATATATATTCATATCAGTGCCAACATTTCAAAGGGGCTTAATTGCTTTTGTAAACAATAGCTTGAGCTATCGATTTCTCGCAAATAAAAGCCCATCCCTTCAAATTAACAATGCTAGCTGGTAAAGGAAACATTCTTCTACCTGCTGGTCTCATTAATCTACATGAGTATGCTTTTATTCGCGAGAAATCGATGGCTAAAGCCATTGTTTACAAATGCAATTACGCCCCTTTGAAATGTTGACACTGATATTATGAATTTCTGCTTGGTTTTGGTTTACATTCAACATCATTAACACCAGATCACTCACACAGTCTTGATTTGATTTGATTTCTAGCTGACAGTTGTAGCAGGTACACCAAGTGTACGTACATGTTGTAAATAGTAAATTAGCCAAAATTAAAATAAGAATGAAATAGATCTAATCCATACGCCAAAAACTATGCCAGTAGCAAAACGACACTGGTCGATTTACTATAAAAATAGAATGCCACTGAGAACCGTCTCTTGGATCACCTAATTGTGAATTCACTTTCGGGTTGGACTGGAACCGGAAACAACAAAATCAGCTGGCTGATTGGACAGCAAGCATATTCCACGCAAGGAACGATTCTCGGGATGGATGAAGGACGGTTTATTGTGTTACATTAGATTACATGTATGAGATTCAGATTTTATAAGTGTAAATTGATTGATTGGTTAATGCAAGCTGAAGGTAAATAAGAAAATAATCATTTTTTGACAATATTCACTAACATTATCAACTCGGGTTTAAGGTACTTTTCACCCAACATTCACTCTACGAAACGAAGTCTTAGACAAATACTCAAAATTGGATACTTTGCAATAGAAATACTCAGAGGGAGAGATAGGCGGAGAAAACAAAATACAATTCGGCAGCAGGGATTTGTTCCTAAATTATCTTGCAACCTTTGCTAGAAGCTAGCATTTCAAATGATGATGATTTGATTTTGATTCGATTTACGTGCAAAATAATAATTGATTGCATCGCAATATTTTACACATTTCTTGGTGCCATTCATTAACCAACGAAGATCAATTAATCAATAGAGTTAGAATATTGTTGTTGAACTAGTTGAATTTGAGAAGCACACAAAACATAAAGGTGATTGAATTTCTGTTCGATTGCAATACTCTCAAATTTATTCTAGTAAGAATAAGAAATCCTCGGAAAAATTCTAATTGGAATGTTCTATTGGCTCAGTTCATTTGGCTCAAAACATACTCTCCGCCCATCTCTCCCTCTGAGTATTTCTACTTTGCAAAGAACTCAATTTTGAGTGGTTGCACTTAGCTGTCAAGATGAGTACAAATTACTTAATTTTGAGTTGTTTCGTCTTTCCGTGCAGAACTACGTACACGGAACCGAAAAATTACCCAAAATTAAGTTCTTTTCACTCATCTCCCATGTTCCGTTCAATAAGCTAATTTTCAGTAAACTGCTTATAGTAGTTTGCATTTGGCTACGGCAAAAATAATTACTTACTCGTATGTATTTTCTACCTAAAATTAAGTTCAATTGACTCAAATTTGAGAATATCTCATATACTCACTAGTAGCTTATTGAACGATAGTCATGAGAAAGTCGAATCTCTCGTTCCGTTTTTGACAACAGCAAAAAGTGAGAGTGGGATGCAAAACTCAAAATTACTCAAAATTAAGTAAAAAGAACTTAAATTTAGGGTAATTTTTTTTCTCTGTGTAGAATTTGTCGAGGGATGAAAGGGACCGTGAAAGAGGACACTAAAGGCCGGCGCACAATAGATACGTTTTCGTGTTTTTTGACAGATAATGCATGGGCTAACTGTCAAAAAACCTGAAAACGTATCTATTGTGCGCCGGCCTTAAAATAGAAAGTTTTTCTTCCGACAGTTTCATCTTAGTATTCATCTTTGGGCTAGTCAAGTAGTGAGCCAAATTAAAATCGTTAGTTTCCACCGGTTGGTTCTACGGTAGCAAGATCCTGGTCGATTTCATTACCATTGCAAAGGAGAAAAGTGCCCTGCAGAAAGCCATCATCAGAGTGATTTAAGCTAATAGCCAAAACTTCACAAATTACACTCAAAAAATTCCACACGCCATCATCATGTGTCTCACACTTAATTTTGCGCTTATTGTGAAAAACATCCATTTCATGTGTGAATCTTATGCTATGAACCATGCCTGAACACTATGGATTTGAATTGTGACACACTTGGATTCTATGTGCCTCATATGGTGATATCAATAGCTTTGTACACCATAGTTCAATATTCTACAATATTCTACTTTATCGACTTCTACTTTACCGACTCTAAAAATGAATCGACAAATATATAAACAAAACTGCCAGAGGCCAGAGCTTTCACATTTCTTTTTAATGGGTCTGATTTTGGATTCGATCATGAACTGTTGGGGTGTGCTGCTGCCAGAGTCTTCGTTCGATCTCACTGTGCCACGGTTGTTCTCATATATGAGGCGGGTTGATAGGAGAAAGTAACAACTCTTGTTTTCGATGTTTACTTTTCTGAGCAAGCAATTCACATCGTATTGAAATGCAAAACACTATAAATCCATCTGTTTTGAACAGTAGCGTGATTCAATGTGCAATACACTTGAATAGATAGTGTAAAAATTTCAACATTTCAAAGTTTGAAACACTATAAATTAACGTGTATAACACATTGAACCAAGGTGAAATACACTTAAAGTAAATGTGATTCTGCATTTAAAAAATCAAGTGTTTAAACACTTCGATCAAACGTGTGAAATTTTTTGAGTGTAGATCAGATCCCAGAGCAAACCAGAGTAGCTCGGAGCAACTCTGAGTAAAAGAGGTACTCAAATGAAAGCCGTCTTTACCCCTCGATCTTATACCCCGTTCACATTACAGCGTATATCACGTGATATACGCTGTCTTGCAATGAACACTCATACATCTAGTTTTCACTGGAAATCCTATGTATGAGTGCTCATTGCAAGACAGCCTATATTACGTGATATAGGCTGTAATGTGAACAGTCTAGTGATTACCTCTCACCCCAGCAGGCCTGGGTTCAATCACAGTACACTCAAAAAATTCCACACGCCATCATCATGTGTCTCACACTTAATTTTGCGCTTATTGTGAAACACATCCATTTCATGTGTGAATCTTATGCTATGAACCATGCCTGGACACTATGGATTTGAATTGTGACATACTTGGATTCTATGTGTCGCATATGGTGATATCAATAGCTTTGCACACCATAGTTCATATTCTACAATATTCTACTTTATCGACTTCTACTTTACCGACTCTAAAAATTGAAACGACAAATATATAATCAAAACTGCCAGAGGCCAGAGCTTTCACATATCTTTTTAATGGGTCTAATTTGGGATTCGATCATGGACTGTTGGG